CGTCTCCTACCATTTACAATTTTAGTCTTCGTTCCATTTTCTGTACCTATTCTTGAGAATGATCGAAACAATTGTCGACTATATTATTTTATATTATATTATTGTTGAAACATTTTGTGTTTTATTTAAACATTTAATTTTTTCTCAAAAGTGCACCTAGGATACTTTTAATTTCACTTTTATCGTCTATAGCAAGGACCGGCAAGTAATTTTATGGGGTCCTGGATGTTTTCGATAATTTTTATCGAGGTCCAGAAAAATATAATAAGGGTGGCGCTCAATGCTGAAACACCCTTTAGTATCTATTGAAAAATATTTTTTAAATAACTCATTTCAGTATTAAATAATTTTTGGCGGTCCAGTTTTTGACTTTTCGCGGTCCGGACCCGAACCGCAATCCGTCAGTTGCCGACCCTTGGTGTATAGAGTGGTTATTTATCATTTCCTTTTTAACATTTACTATTTCGCATTTTTTACAGACGGAACTACGGTTCTTGGTATCGCAGCTCAGTTTTTCGTCGCTGGTTATGAAACAGTTTCGACCACTTTGTCGTTTGGTTTGTATGAACTTGCTCTAAATCAAGAAATACAAAGAAAATTAAAAGACGAATTGAGAAACGCCCTAAAGGAAGATGGAGAGTTAGACTATGGAACAGTTCACAAAATTCCTTACTTGGATCAAGTAGTGAAAGGTATAAAGAAAAACATATTCCATATTAAGGTTCAGTGTAAGGAATTTTCTAGTATAATTTTATTTATTTTAGCGTATGTTATATAAAAGTAATTTATTTTCCACAGTAACACTGTATCCACACTCATTTATATTCACATACACTTATTTATCTCACATTGACTTTATATCAGTTTTTATTAGTTTGGAATTGTTCTAAAATTCTTTTACGAAGTAAGTATATTAAATTCAGTTGGGGTTAGGTTAAGTTAAGTTAGTTTCTCTTTTACTGTTCGATTTTTCACTTCTACTCCTCAAAAGTTAGAAGAAGCAGTGGCTATTATCATTGTTCGAATGTGTTTCATTACAGAGAATAGAAGTTTATTTATAAATAATTTACATTACATTTATTTACGTCTACTCCTGTTATGTAATAAGTTATGCGTGAAATCCGATTATATCTCGATTAGCGCTAATGGTTAACATAAATGGTTGGAATCATGAACTATCATTTCGTAGCTGTTTCTAAATAAATGTGGGAAATTCCAAGAACACTGATAACGCTTAAATAATAACTTGAGAATTGGTAGTATTTTTTTTAATAATTACAGACACGTAAAATGTTTTTGTGAAACCCGTATTAACAATAAAAAAGAGTCAAGACCAATGACGAACTATTAATTGTATACATTTTAGCTTTGATACTGCCTTCCAAGAAGACGCGAAACGTTGTTGACGGTTCTGTACTCAAGTAAAAACATTATCATTCAACTTTTTTTTATCTATAGAATTAAGCGAACAGACCTTATTAACAATTCCTAATTTCAACATTCATCGAATCTTTGTTTGAACATTGACTATTAACTAATTCAATATTCCAGAAACGTTAAGAAAATATCCAATACTACCTTATTTGGATAGGCATTGCACAAAAGAGTATCGGATTCCTGATAGTGACTTGGTTTTGTACCCTGGTTCAACAGTTTACATTCCAATGTTTGGTCTCCACTACGATGAAAAATACTTTCCTAATCCGAATGGATTTATCCCAGAAAGATTTTCGACTGAAAACAAGGACAATTTTCCTGCAACGGCGTATTTACCATTTGGTCTCGGACCTAGGATTTGTATAGGTACAGAAAATGAAAATCAAATTAAATTCTGAGTATTTGTACTTGCATTATTTCTAGGAGAACGATTCGCTTTGACATCAACCAAATTAGCAATAGCAAAGCTTTTGTTAGAATATGATATTGAACCTTGTGAAGAAACGCCTATTCCAGTTGAATTCAAAGCCAGCGGAATTACTTTGGTGCCAACAAAGAAATTAATGCTTAAATTTAAAAATTCGCACAACTAACGTAAAGATGACTATATACTATCTAGTATACAAATATAAGTTTTGATTAGTATGTAGTATTTTACGCAATAAAGTTTAGACGTCTATCATTTTAAAAATTAATTAAATAACAACTTTTTTCGTGGCTGATAGTATGCAGCCCTATTTAAAGTATACGTTAAATATCGTATTAAGAACACAAAAGAAAAATAAAATTAATGTTACGAAAACATTAATAGGTAAATTAATGTCTTTTTAATAGATAGTTGTCATTAATTGTAAGATAAGTTTCCAAACACCATTGAGGCATTGAGTTATTTTTTGTTATGGGTGGTTCGTCAATACCCATATTAAGTTAGAAAAATTTAAATTATATTATCAGTAAACACACAAACACATACGTAAGTCATCCTCATCATTAGGTAGTCAGTCTTAAGACTGGTTGGACACGTACCTCCACCCTTTCCTATTCTGAGCTAAACTTCGCATTTCCCTAAAACTAGAACAACCCACATCCTCAACTATTTGCGAACAGAAATCTAACCTAGGTCTACCTCTAAACTCCTAACTACTATTTCTGCCTCTAATGTCTCTGACTAGACCTTTATGCCTGAGAAAGTGTCCTACCAACCTATCTCGCCTATTTTTTATTGCCTTCCATAGAGTCCTCTGTTCTCCTATTCTTTCTAATACCTCTTCATTTCTAACCTTCTTTACCCACGTTATCCTCAACATTCGCCTATAATACCACATTTCGAAAGCTTCTAACCCTTTCTTTTCCGCCGCGCCCACTGTCCATGTTTCGCACCAGTACAACGTCGTGCTCCAAACATGCACCTTTAACAACCTTTTTCGAATTTCTAAATTAACCATATGCGAGCATAGAACTGACTTCTTTTTATTAAAGGCGACACGACCCTGCGTTATCCTCTGCTTTATATATCCCTACTACTCCTTCCGTCCTGACATATCTGACTTCCTAGATATCTAAAATCAGCCACTTCCTCTAATTTTTCACCTTTATATTAGCTCTTTCCCTACATTTCCTTCCCTTGGATACCAGTATTTTAGTTTTACTTTTATTTATTTTTCTACAGTACTGATCTGTCAGTACCGCTTCCATTTTATTTAAAGCTATCTCTAACTCTTGCTTGCTCTTTCTTGCTAGATGCTAGTACTGCTATATCATCTACAAATCTAAGCATACTAATCTTTTACCCCTCTATATCCATCCCTACAGTTGTACTGTCTTTAATGATGTTGATCGCGTCTTCAATGTATAGATTAAAAAGTAGCGGTGACAGTGTGCATCCCTGTCTGACTTCCTTCCTAATTTCTACTTCTCTACGTTGCAGCCCTAGCTCTATAACTGCCTGTTGCTTTTTATACAAACTAAGCATCACTCTTCTATCTTTGTAACTCATCCCTATATTTTTAAGTATATTTAACATCTTGTCCCTTTAACACTGTCAAAAGCTTTTTCTAAATCTGCAAATCCTATGTACGCACTCTTTGCTTTTTGTATCATTTTCTCTGTTGTTACTCGTAAAGCCAGAATGACCTTCCGCAAATTGATCTTCCCCTAATAGTTCTTCCGCCCTTTTTTCCATCCTCCTCTGTACAATTCTATTTAAGATTTTTGACGCATGGGAAGTTAAGCTAATTGTTCTAAATGTCTCGCACCTATCCGCGCTCCTCTTTTTAGGGAATGTTACTACTACGTTCCGTTTATAATCCTCTGGGACTTTCCCCGTCTCGTAAATGTGACTAACTAGTTTAAACATACGATCTCTAACCTCTTGCCCTGCATGTTTTAAAATTTCCCCCTGTGTCCCATCTACACCTGGCGCCTTATTATTGTTTATTTTTTTTAAAGCTACATCGAACTCTTCTCTCATTATGGGATAGCCTAGCTCATCTATCTCCACATTATCTTCCTTCTCTAATATATCTCCTACTTCATGGCTTGCGCATAGGTTCTCTAAATATTCTTTCCACATATCTGCCTTTTTCTCATTTTCTATCAAAATGATGAAACGAAATGACGAAACGACCCCTGCCTCGTTTTTTATATTATTACTACTGTATCCTACATCTCTAAAATTTTTTATATGTAAAATTGATTGTACTATATGTCTCATCTGTTTTACTTACTTTAAACTTTTGTTCTACTTCTTTACACATCCTATCAATCCACTGTTCCTTACCTGATGCCCTACTCTTCCTAATTATTTCCCACTTTATAGCCTTATATCTTTTTTGCCTTTCTTTGTTTGTCCTGTTTTTGTATTTCCGCCTTTCGTCTATTAATCCTACAATCTCATTTGTTATCCAGGGTTTCCTACTTTAGTTTTGTTTAAGACTAAGTATATCTTTAGCTGCTGACTTTAGGCACGTTTCTGCATTAAAACGTGCCTAAAGTCCATTCTGTCTCTATGTCCCAGTCATTCGTTTCTCCCGCCGCCTTTAGTATTTCGTCTGTCCTTTTACCTAGCCTATCACGCGTTTCGTTACATTTTAGCTTTTCTGAGTCAAGGCGTCTCCTACCTTCCCTCATTTTTAGAATTGTCAATTTAAAATTGGTCTTCATAACTACTAAGTTATGATCGCTATCTATATCTGCTCCTGGATAACTCCTACAGTCCTTCACTTGGTTTTTAAATCTTTGCCCTAACAAGTATGTAATCCAACTAATAACTCCCTAAATCACTTTGCATCTTTCACGTATAGCGTCTCCTAACGTGATGATTGAATAATGTATTCGCGACGGTTAAGTTATGTTTATCGCAAAATTCTATCAGCCTATCTCCCCTATCATTTCTATTGCCTAATCCAAAAGAACCTGCTATTGCANAATATTCTTTCCACCTATCTGCCTTTTCCTCATTTTCTATCAGCATGACCCCTGCCTCGTTTCTTATATTATTACTACTGTATCCTACATCTCTAAAATTCCTTTTAATTATATTATAAGCCTCATCGGTTTTACCTACTTCAAACTTTTCTTCTACTTCTTTACACATCCTATCAATCCACTGTTCCTTAGCTGCCCTACACTTCCTAATTATTTCCCACTTTATAGCTTTATATCTTTTTTGCCCTTCTTCGTCTGTCCTGTTTTTGTATTTCCGCCTTTCGTCTATTAATCCTACAATCTCATCTATTATCCAGGGTTTCCTACTTTCTTTTGTTTAAGACCTAGTACCTCTGTAGGTGCTGACTTTAGACACGTTTTAATGCAGTTCCATTCTGTCTCTATGTCCCCGTCATTCGTTTCTCCAGCCGCCTTTAGTATTTCGTCTGTCCTTTTACCTAGCCTATCACGCGTTTCGTTACATTTTAGCTTTTCTAACTCGAGACGTCTCCTACCTTCCCTTTTTTCCAGATTTTTGAAATTAAGATTGGTCTTCATAACTACTAAGTTATGATCGCTATCTATATCTGCTCCTGGATAACCCCTAGAGTCCTTCACTTGATTTTTAAATCTTTGCCTAACAAGTATGTAATTCAATTGATATCTCCCTAAATCACCTGACATCTTCCACGTATAGCGCCTCCTAAGTAATGATTGAATAAAGTATTCGCGACGTACCCAGGGGAGCAGGAGAGGGCGGCTGCTCCCCCCCCTGGAAATCTCGCAGAAAATGTATGAACTCGCCTAATCATTAATCAAAGTGTTAACGGGACCTTATATGGTAACTTTTGAATAAACCGCGCAGTAGACAGGGTGTAATTGCCATAAAAAAAACATTATTGAACTACCTACAAAGCAGGATCATTTGCGGCTGTTTGCCCTACACAGTGCACTACATATACCTAATGTTTCATGTAGGTGTCTTATTGTAGTGTGTATGACAAAATAGCCGTGGACGATCTGAGCTAAAAAAAAAATCGGACTTGCCCCCCCCCCCTATTTCACAAGCTTAACACGTCTTCTATATCTGCATAAACCCCTTCTACGTCTCCATCGCTGTAAGATGATGTAGACATGTAGACCTGCACTAATACCGTTCTTACCAGCCTTGGGTTTAATTTAACCATAACTGTCCTATCGCTTTTTTGTAAATAACTTTCTACATCCTACCGTACTTCCCTACGCATTACAATTTCTACCTCCGAATTACCTTTCACCGATCCTGTATGTATTACTCTAAAGTTTCCACACCAGAAGTCTCCTGCTTCTGGCCAAAGCACTTCACTGACACCTACTATATCTAATTCTAATCTATCCTTCTCTACTTTTAAATTTTCTAATTTCCCTACTTGCCTCATTCTACGCTCCGACTCGTGAAATATTGCATCTATCCCTATTGCACTTATTGATGATATCTCCCGAGTTAGTCCCCGCCCGGACATCCGAATGGGGGACTAGTTTACGTCAGGAGTGCTTTACCCCAGTATTGTGCTACATCGCAGTATTGTGCATCAGAGTGTCATACCGATCCTTGTGATCTCTTCCACCCTGAATACTGAAAGAGCTGCTGCCCTCTTTCAGGGACACTTGTCTTGGTTTGGTTTCTCTTTAAAAACCCCTCCATTATGGTTGAACCTCTGGTCCAGCTCCCTAAATCATCGAAACTCGCAAGCCTATCCACTCTAGTTTGTACACGAGTTTTGTAAAATACAGACTTTCTTTACCATATTTGCCGCTCTCTTTTAATCTCTGTGCAGTTTTTAAGATGATTTGCCGATGAAAAGGTCTTCACAGGGGATATCATTCGGACAATTCAAGCGTTACATTGACATTGTATTCACATTCGTCGTAAATTAGTAGTATGTCACAAAGTTCTGCCATACTAAACGCCATTATAACAATCACTGTTCTATACTGACCCATGACACGGACACTGACTGACTACATACATACAAATAACAAACAATACCTGAGTGTAAAAATTCAAAATAGATACAACACGAATTTCTCATTACTATTTTATTGAATACGGCGTTGCATTTTCGCATTTCTTTCCAGGGTCAGAATAACGTTTGTTTGTAGTTTGGAAACGGTGAACTTTCATATTCTACAGTGCCAGATCAAATAAATACCAAATAAATCGAAAATCGTCATCATAAAACATTAAAAAAATGAATACAAAAAAGGTGGCAATTTAAATACTATTCTTTAAAACATCCTCAATAGACAATAAAACATAACGGGACGGGCTCTCTTCAAATTATAGAGCTGAACCTCTTTCACTCAAACTCCTGTCAGTTGATTAACTTTTCGCTTGATTACATACCAATCATATATGTATTTGACTATTTAATTTTATCTATTACCCTGTCATTAACGAATGAAAAACTTAAATATGTATTTAAAATGATTGTCCGTTAAGCAACCATGTAAATTTTGAGTAGTCATTGAGAGTGGAACCATAAAGTTAATTCAAAATGTACACTAGGCTTAAATATGATAGAAAATTAGAAGAATTAAACGGAAACATATTCACCCCATACGACATCATCAGCATCAGATCTTTGTAAGTATTAAACTGATTCAGAAAAGGTATTATTCTTCAAATGATTTAGTTTTAGTGAATAGAGGTTTTCATCATACAGTTCTGGATTGTTTCACATTTTATAGGCCTTGTGTAGCTACTACATAGTGGCGATCAATTTTTTTAAGTATTTGAACAGCTAAATATTTAGTTAAAGAAAATTATTCATGTATTTGACGATTTAAGAAACCATTTAAAATCATAACCGGATGTGTCGTCTTATTCCATTAGGCGGGGAAGTCTAAAGGTTACTCCCTTTAGGTTTATTAAGGTCTTTGATACCATAAAGCTAAGTGTAAGGCCTATTGTGAAATTTCTTACTTTTATGTAATTTGATATTAAATATCAAGTACTTTTCATATTCAAGTACAACACAAATTTGCATTAGTAACGTAAGACAGGTGTAATAATAAAGTTGGTGGTGCAACACAAGGAATAGAGTTGTAAGTTAATGTANATATTATAAAAAATATCTGACACTCGAGAAATATTTCTTATGATTATTAAAATCAGCTGCGTTTCATGCACCCCGATGTAATAACATTTTTGTATTTATCTATTCAAGCTGTTCTCCTTTAACATAATACACATGATAACAGATATTTTTGTATAAATATCGCAATTACGTACAATTTTAATAGAGTCCAAATATGAATTCGTACATAAACTTATCGTCGGTTCTTCCGTTAGTGGCTGTGCTTGTATTGACTTTTTCGTTATACAAGTATCTCGTAGAAAATTTCGACTATTGGGAGAAAAGACAAATTAAATTTTTGAAACCAGTGCCATTTTTTGGAAATTTTTCAAAAGCGTTCCTTCAACAAAAAGGCATAGGATTCTTGTTGGCCGAATTTTATAATCAAGTTCAAGAACGATTCTTTGGAATATTTGTTTTAAGTGAGCCAGTTTTAGTGATCAGAGATCCAGAGTTGATCAAACAAGTTCTTATCAAAGATTTCCAACATTTTGCTGATAGAAGTAATTTAGAAGACGAAAGCATCGATAATATTAGTGCAGACTTCCTGTTTTTCTCGAAATATAAAAAATGGAAAATATTGAGATCAAAACAATCTCCGATTTTTTCATCTGGAAAACTGAGGTGTATGTTTCTCAAAATGGAAACGGTCGTAAAAGACATGGAATTCTACATAAACAGTAAGATGTCAACAAACCTGTGCAATTTAGATGTTAAGGAACTGTGCAACAGATATTCCACGGATGTGCTGGCATTGTGCATATTTGGAATGAAGGGAGCTTCTTTTGAAAATGGTCACTCGAAATTTTATGACATTGAAAAAAGAATTTTTGGATTTAGTTTACTCAACGACTTCAGACTTTTCGGACACACAACCGCTAAATCATTTATTAAACTCACTCGTTTGAAACTACTGGACTCCACAGTGATGAAATTTTTACGTCAAACCATAGGATCACAAATTGAGAAGAGGGAACAAAATCATTTGGAAAATAATGATTTTCTTGATATTCTTGTAGAACTAAAACGAATGGGAAATGTTCGCGGACTCATGTTTGGTAAGTTTAGTAGCTGAAATGACAATCGAGACATTCGGTTTTGTTCTTGTTTCTCGTTCTTCTTCTTGTTGAGATATGGAGAAATGTTATTTTAGTAGATTGTACTTTGTTGTTATGTTGATTGTTTTACGTCTCTATTTTTTTCAGAGTTGCTTATCTCAATCTGTTTATTGTACATAAATAATACAACTTGTAATTAATGAAGTGCTTACATGCATATCAACATGTTGAATATGTTTGTGGTGTTTTCTCCAGGTTATAGGTACCTTTAAGTAGTTTATTTAGTATATTTTTCATTTATATTTTCTTGTGTGTTTTTATATATTTTTTAAAGTGACTGAACCAAATAAAACTTTTCTTTTTTCTTCATCTTGCATATTGATGAATAATACTGTTCATAAACGTATTAGCCTATTTTAGGCCACTTTAAATTAATTAATTACAAAGCTAATTTTTCAGTCTGTACTTGTGAGAAATTAGGAAGAATCAAATATTCGAAATATTCAATTTAATATAATCATATGCCCTAAGTGTGATCTTGACTTTAACATTTAAAATAATTTTTCAAAACGGAAACAGCAAAAGAAAAAGAGCAAAATTTTGTAATCGGAAATACCTCTGAAATATATCCTGAAAAATTAACGGTAAATCAACTCTAGGGTATTTCCAATTTCATAGTCTTCCTCTGTTTCTAAAACTAAAATTCCATAAAAGATGACTTGACCTCAAAGACTAAGGTTAAAGCCACAGTCAGGGTCACCAATTGATTGTCCCTTTGAAATCATATAACTTTTTGAAAGACTTTTCTGGAAATAATAAGATTCAATCAAGATATTTCCTTGTTTCAAGATAAATGACACTCCACATGTCCTTATATTGTTCGATATAACCGTGTAAAATATATTTTACAGATCAAGACAGAGTTGTTGCTCTCAGTGGCCAGTTTATTGTTGCTGGTTATGAAACGGTGTCGACGACTTTGTGTTTTGCTCTATATGAACTTTCCTTGAATCAAGAAGCCCAGCAAAAGTTGAGAGACGAGTTACGAGACGCTGTAACGGAAGAAAATGGTTTAGATTATGAAACCATTCACAAACTTCCATATTTAGATCAAGTAGTCAAAGGTAACCACTTTACCAAACAAATTTATAACGGAATTAGCTTATTATAATGACTATATAAAATTATAATTGAGTGAGCCAAAGGAAGGATTTAGATTTAGAAAAAGCTTTTGACAATGTTAAATGGGACAAGATGTTAAATATATTTAAAAATGTAGGGATGAGTTACAAAAATAGAAGAGTGATACTTAATTTGTATAAAGAGCAACAGGCAGTTATAGAGCTGGAACAGCAACGTAGAGAGTAAATAATAGGAAGGGAGTTAGACAAGGATGCACATTGTCACCGCTCCTTTTTAGTATATACATCGAAGACGCGATCAACATCATTAAAGACAGTAGGGATAGAGATAGAAGGACAAAAGATTAGTACAGTTATATGCTTGGATTTGCAGATGATATAGCAGTACTAGCATTTAGCAAGGAGGAGTTAGAGATACCTTTAAATAAAATGGTATTGACAAAACAGTATTGTATGAAAATAAATAAAGGTAAAACAAAAATACAGGCATGCAAGGGAAGAAAAAGTAGGAAAATAGCTAATGTAAAGATAGGAGACGAAAGATTATAAGAAGTGTCTTATTTTAGATATCGAGGAAGTCAGATAAGTCAGGACGGAAGGAGTAGTAGGGATATAAAGCAGAGAATAGCGCATAGTCGAATCGCCTTCAATAAAAAGAAGAGACTTTTATGCTCGTGAATGAGTAATTTAACAATTCGAAAAGGATTGTTAAAGGTGTATGTTTGGATCGCAGCGCTGTACGGGTGCCTAAAATGGAGAGTGGGCACGGCGGAAAAGAAAGAATTAGAAGCGTTCAAAATGTGGTGTTACAGGCGAATAATGAGGATAGATAAGGTTGGAAATGAAGAGGTATTAGAAAGAATAGGAGGATAGAGGATTCTATGGAAGTTAATAAGAAAATGCGAGATAGGTTAGTAGGACACTTTGTCAGGCATGAAAGTCTAGTCGCAGATATATTAGCAGCAGAAACAGGAGTGAAGAAGAGGAAAAGTAGACCTAGATTAGACTCTTCGCAAATAGTTAAGGATGTGGGAAGTTCGAGTTTTAGGAAAATACGAATATTAACTCAGGATAGGAAGGTGTGGAGGTGCGTGTCCAACCAGCCTTAGTTTGACGACCTTATGATGATGAGACTATATTTAATAAATTGCACCTAAGAAATTTTTCCTTTTTCTTTTAAAAGATTTTGTATTTTAAACATTTATAAGGCACGCTTGCTGGCCTTCTACATTTCCACTGACTACTGATGTGTTTCTTTCAGTCGCGCATCTTATGTTAGCGCCTTGAAAACGATCAGCATCTACATGGAGAAAGAGTACATTTTGACGTATGGAAGTAAATAAAACAATTGATTATCTAGAATATCAACTAATGTACATTTATTATTTTATTATTCAATTTCATAAAAAATAGCATACTGTTGAGTTAACATAAAAATGTGACTAAAAAACGAGAGAGAGAGACTCACCTCAAATTACCAGGAGAACTATGATTGCTACGGACACGTGTTTAGCCCACTTCTTCATGTGGGGATTATCAACACGAGTCTCTCATGGAGAAATGGGCGCAACACGTGTCCGCAATGATCATAATCATAGTCTCTCTCGTGTTTTAGTTAGTCTCCAATTTTTACTTTTTATAAAAATGTAAGGAATTTCTAATACTTTAGGATTTTACAAGTTTTAACTGTGTTAAATCAAAATTCAATTAGTTTAAATTTTTTGTATTAAACCGTGAAGGAAGGTAAAAATTTGTGTTTGAAAAATCTTGTAAATCTTAATATAAAATATTGAGTAAAATTATGGTCGCGGTGCTAGAAGAACGCTGGGAACACCACGCCTTGTTTCAAAGACTTATTGATTTAGTGTAGTTTTGATATTGAAAGCCATTAACTTTTTCAAATTTCTAGAGACACTGAGGAAATATCCTGTACTACCATATCTGGACAGATGTTGTACAAAGGAGTATCGCATTCCTGGCAGTGATTTAGTACTGCAGCCTGGTTCGATAATATACATTCCAATGTTCGGTCTTCACTACGATAAAAATTACTTCCCGGACCCAAATAAATTTATTCCGGAAAGATTTTCAGAAGAAAACAAGTCCAGCTTTCCAGCATCGGCATATGTACCGTTTGGTATAGGACCAAGAGTTTGTATAGGTAAAAACGTAACTTATTAATAAAGAATCAATTACACATATTTGCTCCCTTTTTAGGAGAACGGTTTGCCTTAAATGCAACAAAATTAGCAATTGCCCAACTTTTGTTGGATTACCATTTAGAAAAATGCAACGAAACACCCATTCATGTTGAATTCAAAGCTAGAGGAATTACTTTGATGCCAACGAAGAAATTAATCATTAATTTTACGAAAATCAGTCAAGCAGCATATTAAAGAAAACAATTACCTATACGAATTGACTAAAATTTGAATGTATATTATACATTAATTTGATGAAAATACAATAAATATGTTTTATTATATTATTTTTATTTGTTCCATTATCCCATACGTAGCAGTGAATGCGAATTATGCTATTTGATAAAAGAATTCGACTGGAAATTAGTTCAGAGAACCCAGATTATGATCAGATGCGGATCAGATTTTCCGTAATACGGGCATCTGATCAGAGTACAGTGCTCTATCCATTGATCCACCCATCTGATCAGTTTCTGATCAGATTACAGTATTCTATCCGTTAATCCACCGATCTGAGCAGTTTCTGATCAGAGTGCAGTACCCCATTCCTTGATCTGGTGATCCGATCAGAAATTGATCAGCGCACAGTACTCTTGATCCAACTGTCTGATCAGAAATTGATCATAGTAGAGAATCCTATCCCTTAATTCAGTCATCTGACCAATTTCTTATCACAATCTAATGTTACAAATTCTATTACGGTTTCGGTACACTCTTTAAATCAAGATTGTATCTGATGTTTTGAACTGGATCATAATACAGAACTTTTTTTTCTGATTTATCTGATTTATTCTGTATGCAATATTGTTCCTCAAACAATGAACAAATTTATTGTTAATTATTATTATTAATTACATACATTAATAATAATAATTAGTAATGTTATGACTAATTAGCAAATAGTTACCACA